AACGCAAGCTGTAAATGTCATGATATTTACTCATTTTTATTGGTTTCCATTCTTTTTATTATATTAAAAAAAACTTTATTCAAAATTGCCAACATTAAGATATTTCTAAAAATCGTAGCATTTTAAAATGATGCATGTATACAAGAATAAATAGAACAAATAGTTCTAAAGTTGTAAGTTTTTCTTTGAATCAAAATATTATAATTGAAATTTATTTATGTACAATTTTCACTTTGATAAGAATCAATCACTTTCACTGAATCTACCAAAACAAATGATGATGATAATTTTTGATGTTAGTTTCATGCTGAATTAAATACGATAAAATTCAAATCAATAAAAACACAACTTTTGAAGCCTTAAGGGATTTCCCAAAAATAAGTACAACTCTAGAGTAGTGCTTTTTATGCAATAAAAAACCATTGCAACTTATAAAATTAAGACCATTTTGATTCGTGTTAGGTTTTATTCGATTTAGAGTGAAAACATTCATCTGAAACAATACTTCACTTTTCAACCGATAAATATATATTGCGTAAAAAAGTGCAAACATAAAATTGTATTTTTTGTATGCAAAAACTTCCTAACTACTTAACTTTATGTTTTCGATCTCCAGTGCTATTTATTTAACACGTGGATTATAACTTATTAAACCCAAAGCCTTCATTCGCTCTTTTTAATACAAATTTAAGTTTTATGTTAATACAAATTAGCCTGAACTCCAATAAGAAGTATAGCAGAGTAATGAACAATCATTCACCCTCCTGAATCAGTGTAAAATAAGTATAATTTTCAGTATCTAATAAGACCTCATGACCAAGACATTCTGAATATTCCAAAATTTAGGAAGAAAGTTATAAGTAATTGCAAAAAAGTATTTTTGTTTCATAAAAATATTTAGCTCAGTAAGAAGTAAATGATTCGGATACGCTGATGCGCTTAAAATGCGCTGTTAAAAGACATCGTGTTTCAAATTCGCCTGAACTCTAATGTGAAGCAGAGTAATGAACAATCGGTCATCCTCTTGAATTAGAGTCAATGAAGTATTATTCTCAATATCTAATAAGACATCGTGAGTGAGGCATCCTGTTATTTTTGTTTCTCCGAAATTTAGGAGAAAAGTTGTGAGAAATTGCAAAAATATTTTGGTTTCATAATAATAGCCTTTGTTTCACTAAGCTTAACGCAGACATTAGAAAAACTTAGTTCAGAAAATTGTTAATGATTCTGACATTAAGCCGAAACATAATCCTAGTTTAAAATACGCTGTTAAAAGACATCATGTTTCAAATTCGCCTAAACTCTAATGTAAAGCAGAGTAATGAACAAATGGTCGCCCTCTTGAATTAGAGTCAAAGAAGTATAATTTTCAATATCTAATAAGATATCGTGAGTGAGACATCCTGTATTTTTTTTTCTGAAATTTAGGAAAAAACTAATGAGAAATTGCAAAAATATTTTGGTTTCATAATAATAGCTTTCGCTTAACTAAGCTTAATGCAGACATTGAAAATAATTAGCTTAGTGAAAGGTAAATGATTCTGTCACTAAAGCATGACTTCTGCTTAAGTATTATAAGCTGTTGAAAGACACCGTGTTTCAAATTCACCTGCACTCTAATAAGAAGTATAGAAGAGTAATGAACAATCATTCCCCCTCTTGAATTAATGCCAAGGAAATATAATTCTCAATATTTAATAAGACCTCGTGAGCGAGACATCCTGTATATTCCAAAATTTAAGGAAGAAAGTAATGAGAAATAGCATAAAATATTTATCACGATGTATTGTGAACTTTTTTAGTATTTTATTTTGTCAATTATAACAAATACTTTTTTTCAAACTACGAACAATAATGGAACAATACAGCACTGGAATATTTTATTGTAGGACTTCCTTCGAATAAACTTGTTTTGAGTTTTATTTTATTCTCGAACATTTTCTTGAAATTATGTTTGCGAATGGCAGGCAGCGAGAAATCTGTTCTTCAATTTCTCCCATACAACACCGTAATCCCTTAACAATATGAAACAGTCTACGTACAGATTTGGAATGTTCCAAGCCTTGCAATCATCTGTAGCAAACATACATATGCGTTACTCTATATCAATCACATTTTCTCTATCCAACTACGGAAAGGGAAAAAAAAGGGATCTTACGACTTCCCAGACGAGTCCGAAAAATCCCTAAATCACGCGCCTATCATGACGGATGGGGATTTTAGAGAGATATAATAAAAAGGAAACTCCCTTATCCATCTATGAAAGATCAGAATGATGGATATCTACTTCTTGCAAATACTTCCTCTTCCTTTTGGCTGACTCGACATTTCCCGGAACAAATCCACTCCAGATCCAGAGTAGCAGGGGTGGACAGGCCTCCCACCCCCACTTTTCTCATTTCGATGGTGGGTTATTGTTATAAGCCCTCTATTTTCTTTAGCAGTAGGTTCCCTTTGGTCTTTTACTTTTTACTTCCTTTATTCGGACAGACTTGCAATTTTTTTCTAGCTTTATGAGGGGAGATGATGTAGAACAAAGTTTGGACATTTTTTTTTTCTGCAGTGCTAGCGGTTTATCGAGTTAGTTTTGTTTCTTCTGGCTTTTTGGGGGGAAGTTTGGATATTTTTCGAACAGGCCTTTTTTTTTTTGAAATCAAGTAAAGCTGGGTTCCTTTTGAATTCAGAAAAAAATCAATGATAAATCTAATCCAAACTGGAACTTCAACCAAGTATTTTCATCAATCGATCAAAATGTTGAAAGCTTTCATTTTTGCATGTTTGAGTGTAACAGTGAACAAATCGTCGAATTAAATTTTCAAATTACAGATTTACATTAATCCAATTGTAATTATAAATACACCAAGTTTCCCAAATTAGTATTCCATACATAGTGTGGGGGCGGAGTTATCGACGATGGCAGCCTTCATCTATTAAAAGGTACCTCTTGATTGAAGCAAGTTAGCATGTCTTATATACCAGTGAATTGGTGTTTATTTTTCGTAGTGGTAGTTACGCCACAATAGTATAGAAATTGGTGTAGGAATATTAGAGTTGAATGCTGATAGAAATTGGAATTAATTTCTTGTGTTTATTACAGTTAATTTTTTTTCGAAAAGTATAGCCAAAGGAAAATTATCACGAAGTTAAGTTGGTGGGCATACCGATATTTTGTGCACTCCATCAGCAATAAATTTTTAAACAAAAATAAATCTCTACGCTTTTGTTTGTCTCTTTGACTCCAATATTAAATTCCAGGAGAGATTTGAAATTAGCTTGGCTACAAACCTCTATCAGACTTTAATGTAACTACTGTAACAAAATTTCAGTTCCATTTCCGATACCAGAGAGTCAATAATCTGATTATCTGATAATTTATAATATTCTAAACGAACAAAAGAGTTATGTTCAATTGATTATAATCGAAAAATATCATCCGCAAGTTACAATTCATTCAACAACAAGTTCATTTTACTTTAGATATAAACTGCGCTGAATTTTGCACCATCTTTGAGTTAGGATGGAACTTTTTTCTACAGCACAGTAGGTGCATATAATCCATATGTTTCACAATATGAAAGGTAATTTGACAAAATATTGTACCACAAAATATCTTGCAAATTAATTCTACCTTTATATACACTATTCCCATTGATGTGCTGCTATATGCACAATTAATTCGATATATGTGTATCGCTATATCAAAATATCTATAATATATCTAGTTTTAAAACATTAAATCTTACACCATAACTGTTTTCTTTTGCATTTGATCTTATTATTAAACAGAATGACTCGAAATATCTCATATAAGCTCGGAAATTTTAAAAAAAAAACAAGGAAAAGAATCATAGGGAAGAATTTTCGGAAGTGGGCACAATTTCCTGTACGCGAACTCAAGGAAGGCACTTAGGATATTAAAAATGCCCATTATACTATATGGTATTAGGATTCCAAATGAGACTGACAAAGAAATTCTTAGAATCTTGTATGTTACGTTAGTATTATGAACAAAGCAAAAAAAATGGAATTATTTGCATTTATTGATTTTTTTTATCTAATGATCGCATCTTCACTTTCTCGAACTCACTCTTAATGGTTCAAGGGGTGACCTCGAACATGCTTACTAATTAGTGTAGAAGTTAAGTAATCAAACACAAAAACTTACTTTCTCTGAATAAACATATATTTTTTTTAGATGGATTCAGATTTCTGACCTCCAAAATATTGGGGATTCGTTCTCGAGATGGGGCGAAATACGCAAAAAGTGAAATTTACATAAAGAGTCCAAACTTTATCCCCTTTTCTTGGACTATGAGGAACATATTTTCTAGATCGTCTCCCACCGTATTTTGGGAGACAAAAATTTGAATCCGCAAAAAAAGTTTTTTTTTCAGAGAAAGTACATTTTGGTTCCTGATTCCTTAACCTAAAGTGTCACTTGCACTAATAAATTCGTACATTTATGGTCCTCCCTTTGAATCATAAATTTTGAGTCCTAAAATGTGAATATCTGATCATTAGTTCAAATCCGATCATTAGTTCTTCACCTTTGCATACACTAAGTGTTTTGTGCATAAGAATTTTTACGAGATCCTGTTTCACACAGGCTCCAAAAAAGGAAGCTGTGCCTTTAATTATCTACTTTTTATTTTGATAAATCCATCATTATTTTATTATTATTTGCTAGGCCTGTGACTCTGGCCTCTCATTAACCTCTTTGAACATCTTATGAACTTCTCATGAATGCATTCTCATGAACTTCTGATGCTAATGAAAATTTCCATCAGAAGTTCAGCTCATTACTCTAATTGAAAAAAAGCTAATTAACCGCCCCTGAAACAGTCATCACACTAATTCATTTAATATTTAATACATTTAATTTGTACAATCATATTAAAACCTTATTAATTGTTCAAAAAAACTTAATTGCTTACAATAGGTGCTACATGATATTTTAAATAACCTATCTCTAATATTATGTAAAACTCACTTATTCATAGATTTTGCCTCTTCCACTGGCCAATCCAGCAGCTCCAGCCGAACCTCACAGTGCCTCATACCATCCCCACTCTAGCCACGCGAGAGTGCCAAGCACAAGTTCGTCCACAACTTCTGCAGCTGCACCAAATATAAGTCGCCATGTGCCACCACGCGTGCCACCTCTGACGTCGCCATCCAGCGGTTACAGTGAGCACAGTGACCCGTACTTTGCACTGAGTGCCCACGACAGAGCTTTGATTCTGGCATCTTCCAAGAATTTCCCTCATTCGCTCTCCTTCGGAGGATGCTCACAGCATTCTTTGTTGCAAGAGACGTCATACAGCACCCCTTGTGGGAACGCAGCATTTGGAATTACACAGCCTTCAGCTGCTGCGTCCTTTTTTGCAAGGTAAGGACACTTTATTAAGCATTTCTATGGACCGGCGCAACTTTGTCATGTTTTTATAAATATGACTCTTTGAGAGTGGATAAATTTTTGTACCAAAATTGCCTCGGTTTTCTGTATCTGTTATCGTAGATAGTTATGACATTGAATGGGTTTTTAAAAGTAATGATACACTGAGAAATTCATCACGAAACTCTATTATTCGTATTTTGCGTTATGATAAGTAACATTTATTTGAGTGGATAATCATACTAGAGTCGATGAAGTATCTTATTTTATAAATATGACCTTTTGAGCGTTAGTAAATTTTTGCACCAAATTGTCTTAGTTTTCTGTATCTGCTATCAAAGATGATTATGACATTTAGTGTATTTTTCTAAATAATGGTACACAAAGAGCCGCGATGGCTCAAGGAATAGAGCGTTCGCCTTCCAATGAGGCGAACCGGGTTCGAATCCCAGTCGATACGAATTACGTATCCGGTTTGCATGGACCACAGTGCTGACCTGAAATATCTTCAGTGGTAGACGGATCATGGCTTAGAGTCCCTTTGCCGTCAGGCTTACCGTGGGAAGTTCTCGTGGTCATCCTCTCCATGTAGCACCAATGCGGTTTAGCCCTATCAAAAAATCCTCCAGGAAGGCAAATTTCTCCCAGTACTCGATCCAGGAGTTCCTTTGTCTTCTGGATTGGTTTCAAAATTACAAGGCTGCTGAGTTGAACATTAGTAGTCGTAAACCCATAAAATTGGGTCGGCTGTTCAACGACGGATATAAAATAAAATAAAATATGACTCTTTGAGAGTGGATAAATTCTTGTACCGAAATTACCTCAGTTTTCTGTATCTGTTATCATAGATAATTATGACATTGAAATCCATCATGAAACTCTGTTATCCGTATTTTGTGTAACGAGGTATAACTTTTATTTGAGTGGATAGTCATAATAGAGTTGATGAAGTATCTTATTTTATAAATATGACCTTTTGAGCGTTAGTAAATTTTGTCAAAATTGTCTTATTTTTCTGTATCTGCTATCAAAGATGATTATGATGTTGAGTGAACACTAAGAAATTCATAATGAAATTTTGTTACTAGCATTTTATGTTACTGGAAATATCATTTACTTGAGTCGATAGTCGTAATAGAGTCGATGAAGTATCATTTTTTTTGTATAAATATTACCTTTTGACCGTTCATGAGTTTTGACACCAAAATTGCCTCGGTTTTCTGTATTTGTTATTGTAGATGATAGTAACATTGAATGGGTATTTATAACAGATACTGCACTGAGAAATCTATCATGAAACTTAATTATCAGCATTTTAGGTTACTGGAAATAACATTTATTTGAGTCGATAATCGTGATTAAGTCGACGAAATATCCGTTTTTTTGTTCCTGTTATGTTAGAAATTTTGTTGTTGTCATGATGTTCAATTTACTGCATAAAGTATAAGTAAGAAAAACGAGACAATAGCCACGTGTTTCATGTTTTCCCCTCAAATTTACCATTTTGACTCATTGTACAATCATCTGTTTCAAAATTGCGCTTCCTAAATATTATCGCCGAAATATTTCAAGCCAGTTGCATATTAACGTTACCTAAATATTGGAATGTTCATGTAAAAATTGAAAACTATTGCAATGTTCACGTAAAGTTTTGTTTTACTTTTCTAGAAAACTTATAATACACGTTTAAAAAACCATATCACAAAATATCATGTATTAACTTTTTCTTGACATCAAATTGTATACGTCACTTTTCCAACTATCAAAATACTATATAAAATGCATAGTGTAATAATTTTATTATTACACTATGGTTTATAACATATGGCTAATATGGTTTATAACATACATTTAGTTTGATTGTCTTTACTAATGTTTAGGGAAAATAGCAAAAGTTGAGAGTGCAGCTATGATAGTACTCTATACTTTAATTATTAACTTTGTTAATATAGTTTCTGTGGAACAAGTTTAAGCCCGTTATTGCATATAATGCTTGCATCAATCAACGATTAATTATGAATAACAGACCTAACTTATCATTAATCGATGATAGTGTAAATAAGTTAATTATTCCTTGTCAAAGCGCCACTATCTGAACTGTTCTATAAAGCCCTTAATTATCACGTATCTCAGTAATAAGTGTTGGTATACATTTAATTAATTTTAAGTCGACAATATAGTTTGTTGTAATGAAGTATATGTTGTTACATTAAAGAAGCAATTAGCATAAATAATTTTTTTGCATTATTAAAGTAAAGAAACAGAAAAAGTATAAAATGGTACACTTACGGTTTGATTTCTCTTCACATTTAGATAATTTTATAACATGTCTTTAAAAGGTCATTTTATAAAAAGTCACATGATTGTTGATATGTCAATGCACACACACAGACGCACAAAAAATGGACCATATTGAATTACCTTGGATCGAATGATCGAATCTTCACGTTCCAGAACTCTTGACGATTTAAGGGGGTGACCTCAAATATGCTAATTAATCAGCGCACACAATATTTAATGTTGTAAAATCAGACACAAAAACACATTCTTCTTGAATAAAAATTTTTTTCGACATATTCGGATTTCTGACTCTCAAAATATAGGGGGCAGTCGCAAGCTGGGAAATATGGTTCCAATAGTTTGGTCAGGACAGCGGAACAAGTTTGGACACCTTAATATTAAATTTATTTTTGCATATTTCACAATATCTCGAGAGCTTTTTTAGCGAATTGAAGATTTTTTGCACGTAACTATAAAATGCATTAATCTAAATATAACTCCATGCAAAAAACATGATTCAGTAAATATTATTATCTTACTTAATAACTGTCAAAAAATTTCAAATAGTACGGTGTATAATTATTTACGTCATTTTAACAAATATAATTTTACATGGCAAAATGCAAATTTTGAATGAAATTTGTCGAATTGTTCCTGATAACTCAAATTTGAAAAAAAGTATTTTTGAAATTCGATTTCTCATGAACTATTCGACTGATTTCACTCAAATTTTATATTTTGCCATGTAAAATAAATGTATTAAGGGTGATAAATTGGGACCATATTTCCGAGATTGCAGCTACCTTCTACTCTACATTTTTGGGGTTAAAAATTCGAATCGTCGAAAAAGAGGTAATTTTATGCAGAGAAGTAATCTTATAATTTAGTTATTGTGCACGATTTAGTAATTTCAAATATCGCCTCATGGTGAGAAGCGTTTTTAAAAAGTACTTTAAGGTAATTATTTTCTATTTTCGTTTTTTAAAAGCCCTTAGAGGTGCTTTTTTAATGTGTGTTTTTAAAAATGATTGACTTTCCTTTTTCGGAAATGAGGTTTTTTTTTCTTTACAATGTCAATTTTCGCTATTATGCAAAAGCGTGGTTTTCACATTGTTCTATTCAACGTTTTTCACAATTCATTCAAACGCAATGTAGTTAGGCTTACCGTCGGTCAGTAGCGTATGGAAGCACCAATCATTGTACTTCTTGTTTGATGAAATACGCGTCTACTGAGCTGCGTCTACATGTGCGTCTACTGAGCTGAGTTTGGTGAAATTCTTGCTCTCTCATGCGCAACTTTGTTGCATTTTGCAAGATATTCTCAATTTCAGACTTCATTTTCCACCCTCTGAAATCGAACTGAAAAATCTCTCGATCTTTGTATGGCAGTTAATATAATCAAGAAAAGAGTTCTTTGTCAAGAACTAATTCTTTTATCGTGATCATATAAAATCTTTGAAAATTGTTTTGCATTTTGTTTCATAGCGCTTAATTGCATAGTGCATCACATGGTGCTTAAAAATATTTTTGAGTGCTTGAAAAGTACTTAAAAGGTGCTTATATTTTGTTGAAATATTTGGCTACGCACCCTGCGTCTGCACTAGGTAATTAACATATTTGAGGTCATCCTCTTGAACCATTTAGATTGAGTCCAAGAACTTGAAGATCTGATCATTAGACCAAAAGTAATTCAGGGTGGTCCGTTATTTTTATTTTGAGCACTGTACTTCCAATGAATCGTAGATATAAATTTTGTTCGAATTGAAGTGTTTTGTAATTCAGTTTTAAAATTCAGTTGTATCAGTTCAGCTTCAATTTGAACTTTTATCAATTGATCTCCTAATATTTTAACAAGCCTATCGAAAAAAAGTCACCAGGTTAACAATGTTTTATTCCTTTTCGCCTTGAAATTACGAATCCATACTTGTGGATGTGTTACGACCTTGCATCGGAAACGTATCGAAACTCAAATGAGTACTTTTCGGTTAGCCGGGCGCAATTAAAGTCAACAATATTATTAATTTTTATCTTATTTTATTTTACTTCTTATTAATTTTATTTACATATTTTTTTTTATTTAATTTTTAGGTTTTTGATTAAAGAAAATAAATAAAACAAATAAAGTAAAAATTGTGCAAATTTAAATTTTTCGGGATTTTTCGCTTACCGTAAAATACTCTCAAATATTCGCTTTTGCTATTATTAGAGGTAGTAAAAATATAATCTAAATCAGAGGTTTCCAACTTACATGAGGCCGGGGGCCACAATTAAGACACCAGTCAAATGGCGGGCTGCTTATCAAAATTTTATATAGAACTCTTTTATATTTGAAGGAACATTAAATATTACTGTCAGATTTTTATCAAGTTGCACAAAACAAACGTCTTGAATTACACATTGAAACAAAAAATAAATTTTTAAACAACATACGGGATAAATTTCGGATTTGAATAAATATTTTCTTGGATGCAAAACCTGAGAAATAAATTTTTTTGGAAACCTCTGGTATGTTAAATTTCACAGAAACGAAGAATTTAGGTTTTTTAAACGAAAGTAAAGTATTTCAAACCCATCATATAGATTTTTTACAAAAATTTTTCGCAAAAAAGACAAAATGATATTTTAGTTCGCGGGTCACAAAAAAGGCTTCGAGGACAGGATGCGGCCCGCGGGCCGCCAGTTGGTAACCACTGATCTTGATAATGGATTGATAA